CAGAGTAATTTGCATTTGGAGAAAAAAAAAAGAATTGGACGTTGGTGAAGCGAGTCTTTACTTTTTAGTTTGAAGTCTGAATATCAGATTTACTGATTAAACAGCCATTCTTATTATGTTAGCTTATAGCATATGTTAAATAACTGTCCATGTCTGACACATGATTGGATTGTATTCAGGAAGATGGAAGACACTTGTGTCTTTTTCCCCAAGCCCCCATCCATAACTTTTGCTTCCATCATTCTTACTCGTGTGTCTTCATAAACTGAGAAGAAAAAAAAAAAAGATTTAAAACTGTCACACTGCCAGGTATGGTTACACATGCCTTTAATCCCTGCATCTGGAAAGCAGAAGAAGGTAGATCCGAGTTTGTGGTCAGACTGGTTGGCATAATGAATTCCAGCACAGCTAAGACTACACAGTAAGACCCTGTCTCAAAAGAACAACAACAACAAAAAACCAAAATAAAAATACAACAAAATAAAATTGTAATAGCACTTGGAAGGTAAAAGCAGGAGGATCAGGAATTCAAGATCACCCTTATCAATGTAGAGAGACAGTATGAGCTGTCTGAGACCTGGCTGGGGTGGGGGTGGGGGTTGGGCTATGGCCAGAGCAACTATCAAGTCTTAAAAATGTAATTTCCTTAGAAATGACAGTGAAAAGAAAAGAAAGCTCTATGTGCGTGCCTGTGAATGTTTGTGTGTGTGTGTGTGTATGGGGTGGGGGGATCAAGGCAAAAGACATTAGATTGACCTTGATCTTTTCATTGGGAAACAGTGAATTTGGGGTAATATGGTTTCTGATGGTGATTGCATGGGTGAGAAAGGCATTTTCCTTATGAAAAGAGTTCCTGGTCAGCCAGTATTTGTACCTCCTGGGATCCCATGGAAAGAAACAGAACTATGTAGAAAGAAAGAGAGAGAGATAGAAAAAAAAAAAAAAGACGCACGAGCCATATGGAATTCTCTATTTTTTCCCCTCATACCATCTGGTTTAGAATCTAAGTACAGCGTGGCAACTGTGTTTATTTTGAAGCCAAAAAATCCTTAGGAGACATCTCCTCCTGTGACCGAATCCATCATTTTTTACACTGTCTAGAGTAACATTGTTCCACATACAGATGAGACTTCAGACATACATTTGGTGCTTGAGAAGACAAGGACTGAGGTGAATGCATACAAGAGCTAAAATAATATGTGCATAGAAACCATCTCAGGATCTTGGAAGAGATCTTTAAAATATGTTCAAATCAAGTGCAAGGATTTTTCTCTCCCCCCACCGCCCTGGCAAGAACCTGATAGCTCCCAGAATTCTTGAATTCTTCCTTTTAACATCACTAGCAAACCAATACCATGGGCAGCCTGATCCTCTCATATACCTAGAATTTCAAAACTCCTGAAAATGTAAGTTTTAAATTGGGACAGGGATGGCAAAATGACAAACTCATGTGGGACTAAACTTTCTTTGGTGCTGAACCTTGATCTGAATGGCCAACAGGGCTTCACAGAGTAGAGCTAGGCTCTCAAGAAAGGTGAGTGAGTAGAGGGGCAGCCAGACCTTGCTAGTGGGATGGCATGCCCTGCACAAACTGTATTACCTTCAAAAACCCATATTCCTCAGGGATCCCAAACAAACCAATTGTAGGAAGTTCTTCAAAGCCTTACTGTTTTATTTTTCCTCAGCTGAAACTGCCACTTAAATGCCCCACATTCTGAGGTTCAGCTGTCAGATGAAAAGCACACACATCTTACTCCAGTGCTCACCTATGAAATTGCTTAATACCTGTATAACTCTCCTAGAGCCACAGACATTTTCTTCTAGGACAATGACAGTGTTTATTCTTCACCACACAGTTTATTGTCTGGCATCCAGAATGACTCAAAACTCTTTGTAGATTTCCAACTCTCCTGGTGTCATTAATCTGACTATGCTTATTTATTTGTTTGTTTATTTAATTGTTTTGTGCTTTATACACACAGAAATACACACACAAACACACGTTGCAGGAGTCAGTAAGTTCTTTCCTCCTACCATGTGGGTCCCAGGTATTCAACTCAGATTATCAGGCTTGGTAGCAAGTACATTTACTCACTGAGCCACCTTGCAAACCCCAATACTTATTCTTAAAATGAACATCATCCTGTCTCAAAAGCAGCAGTTTCTGATTCCTGGAGGGCAACAATATTCCCTTCCTCTTTCGGCCCTTGAATTACATGTATATAATGGGATGTTGTTGTATGTTTATGTGTGTGTGTGCTAAAACAAAGAAACAAAGTGGCTTTCAGATATAACTTATAAACTAGAACATTCACTTTTTTAAAGGGTAGGGTCTTAATATATAGCACTAGCCCAAGCTATCCTTCAATTTGTAGTAGTCATCCAAGTTCTGGGATTATGGGTGTGAGTCCAGTGTGCCAGGCTCTCATCTATTTTACATGTTACAATTCAGTAGTTTTGAATTAATCTAGAGTTGTGAAATCATTCCCACAATCTAATTTTAAGACATTCTCATCACCTCAAGAGATCCTTAGTGCCCATCTGCAGTCAATCTCCACTCCATGCTTCCCCAAGCCTCAGGCAACTACTCTCTTTAAAGCCTGTCTCCAAGGAGTCACCAGTTCTGGAAACTCAACACAAACTGAGTCTTACAGCACTTGGGCTTCTATGTCTGGCTTACTTCACATCATTTCATGCCTTTAATGTGTATCTATGTCACGAAATATAATGGTACTTTATGCCTTTTTCATTGGTGAACAGGCATGCACTGTATGGTTGTATCACAGCAAATGGCAACAGCAACTTTTAAACCAAGATTCCATGCCTCACCACTACATTCTTTGAAGGATCTATGATAAAGAGTGCTTGATCTATTCCTGCTCACCTTATAGGCACATGCAAAACAAGTACCTATGGGCCAGGGCTCTGCTAGGGGAAGGCTTTTGTAGCATACATGAGGCCCTGGGTTGGACCCCAGCACCACATAAACTGAGTATGGTGATGGAAACCTGTAATCCCAGCATAAGGTCACCTTTCAAATGTTCTAGAACAACCTGGGATACATGAGACTTTGCCTAGAAAAAGAGGAGGAGGAAGGAGGGGGAAGAGGAGCAACAGCAGCGGCAGCAGCAGCAGCAGCCAACAGCAGCCTTATCTGAAGGGTCCTAGAAGGCCTGGGCCTGGCAAGAATGGTTCTAGCAGGCCTTGCCCTTCCCCATTCCCTCTTCCTTGTAAACCATAGATTACATCCCTAAAGCTAGCCATCAAGGTCTATTTTTTTTTTTATTTGGACACTTTCTTATGCCAGATTAATTCCTGAGGATGACTACCAAAGTCCAGCAATCAAAAGCCCCCTTTGATTCACCTACCTCATCCAGACCATTCTAACACAGACCTCCCCTTTTCCTCATCTTAAAAATTATACCTCCAAGGTCATTTGCTGTTGTTTTTCTGCCCGAGTCAGAAAGCAACCACTTTAACTTTTATTTCCTGTTTAATAAAGGATCTCTCAGTGAAAATAGGTATTTGGACATAGTTTGTGCCTAATCCAGGGTCTAGGAGAGAGCCCCTACCCCTACCATATGGGGGTTTCTTCACTATCAGTCCTCTGTGGAATGAGAGAATGCATGACCGAAGACACAGAACTAAATCCAAAGTTGGAGTTCATGATAATTAACCTCCTGGCTCCATTTTAGGTCTTAAGGGAAAGAGAAAAGACATGCCATTTGACAGGATGTTTTGTACTGTCCCTCAAAACTTTTATTTCAAGCATCATTCACCATATTGTTGTTTCTTTGTTCTTTTCAGGTGTGTGTGTTCATGTGCGTGCATATGCACACACACATACACACACATATGGAGACTAAAGGTTGATGCTGGATATCTTCCTCCATTGTTCTTTCCATTATTTTATTTTATATTTTGGAGACAGGGTCTCTCACTTAACCTAGATATCATCAATTGGATATGAGCTCCAGACATCCACCTGTCCCTATGCCCCTCATGCTGAGATTACAGATGCACACTGCCATCTGCTTTTACATGGGTGCTAAGGATTTGAACTACTCTTTCTGGCTTGTGAAACAAGCACCTTTTCCATTAGACACCTCCACAGCCTGTTATTTCTGGTTGATCCCTAAACAAATTGGGAGAAATGACATCACAGGATGAGACAAAACGATAGCAGTATTTTAAGCTTACTGTTGAGTTTATCTGACCCATCACTGGTCCTTTGTACCACATTTTACATGGCTTGAACCACCTTTTCGTATTGAACTAATTGAGATGAACACTAAGACACATTCAGGCTTTGGGGATGGGGAGTGAAGAGGTTCATACTACACAGCGTCTTCTCCATCTCAAATCTCCAAATTGACTCAATATATTTTGATCAGACCTACCCTCTAATGGTCACAGAGACTAGTGTCCTTCACAGGCACGGGAAATGGAAACTAAACCTAAAGGGCTTAACTGGTGGGGAATCCAATACATAGCTATCTGATCTTAACTTCACAGGCTTTGTCTTTTGAAAGTATAGGCTGACACCAAAGGACGGTGGTACAAAGCTATACTATTGAGATATGTAGACATGCTCAAGACTTTCAGAGACGAGGCTCCTTGACATCTCTGACCCAGTTCTGGGCCTTGTGGTGGATATGTACAGACCCCTTCTCTCATTGAGGATTCAGACATCTAAAAGTCTGTGGTTAACCCAAAGGCATAGCTCACTGTACACTGTTTCCTTTGATACAAGGAAGTGGATGGAAGAAGAGAGAGGGAAGGCGGGAAGAAGGTGGAGAAAGATGGGGTGGAATGGAAAGGGGGAGAGAAAAATAAAAATGATTAAAAAATATTAAAGGGCCATTTCCACCCACACCCATGTCAACAAATGAATGCATCAAGCAAAACATAAAATATCACCAAACTGAAAGAGCCATTATAAATCATAATCAAGATAACAGTCGAGTTGCTTGTGGAATTCACCCCAAGGCTGTATTTACCTGGACTGCTCAAGGGGCCAGCCCTGTCCCCCAGGGTTGGCACAGGACGGTACTGATGGTTCTTTGAGCCTGGGTACATCCAGTGGTACCTGCCAATTTCCATTTCAGCTCTGCTGTTCACTGCCAATTTCAGTGGCAAAGAGTCAGTGTCTATCTCCAGCAAAGATTCTATAATCAGCATTTCTATTTTATTCTCTTACCACATAGTAAAGGAAAATGGGGAATAAAAAATGCCATCAAAATGCAACCCTTCAGTACCAATTCATCAGTTCGACATGATAAATTTTAGATTCAGTTGGACTCTTGTCCTCCAATTTTGAATTTAAATTTATACAAATCACCAATATTTTATTTGTTTCTATTTTCTGTATTATCCCATCCCCTAAAATCATTTGGGGATGATTGTATTCATGGTTAAAATGTGGCTTCTCATAATGTGTTTTTTTTTTCTGTTTATTTCCTTTTCAGACAGAGAACTGTAATTATTGCCAGCTGCACAGGCAAAGGTGGACACAGTGGCTTTCTCTCCATCATGGTACTCAATTTCCATTCTAGAACTCTGGCAAATTATTCTGTGGCCTGTTGAGTTCAGGATGAGACTCTCATCTTCCCATTGATACCTGAAGTAGTCTCTGTCACTTCCTCTTTGTCTCAGAACAGAGTTCAGAATATTCTGAATTGAATCCTATTTCAATAATCTTTTAGTGTCATAGAGAAGGGATTGTTTATTCAAATGGCAACAAGTAGCCGCCCAGGGACTCAGGTTTCTATCTGGTAACACATTTCCCACTTCTTAGTAGATTACAGAAGCAATTTGTCTGGTATAGAATATAGGCTTCCAATCACTATTAATGAAATTCTAATCGTGAGGTTCTTAAGAAACTAAAATTGTCACTATGGACTGTCCATGGCTATAAATTCCATAAAAGGTATAAAGGAGTGATGTCCTCTGTGGTACTACAAAAACTTAAGTATTTAAAAAAACAGCTTTGGCATTGATGTGGGTAATGATTCTGTCAGAATATATGGGTCTAATTTTCCATGTAGCACCTCAAGTCATTGAAGACTAGATAAATAACCACACTGCAGGGCTAGCAAATGCCTATCTTCACCATCCAGGCACACCAAGCCTTAGAAATATGCCAGTTCCGCTCCCCAGTCTCTGAAAGCCCTCAAGAGAGTTGAGACTGGGTGAGAACACTTGTGTTAGTAGTGCTTTAGAGAAGACCTTTTTGGCTTCAAGGTCAGTTGAAAACGTCTCATTTAAAAGGAAAAAGAAGGGTTAGAAGTGTGTAATGCAGTGACAGTGCACTTGTGTGGCATATATAAGACTCTGGTTTAAACGTCTTACACCAAAATTTTAAGTAAATAAGGGTGAATAAAGATTTTCAAGTGAAAACCATGAAATTATTTTTGCTGCTTCTGTTTGGGTTGTCAATAAGGATGATAGCTGTAATTTATGGAGTGCTTACAATGTGCTAGCCATAGTGTTATGCACGTGACATCTGCTGTTTCACTAACTATAACCACACTAGGATATTATCATTCAGTCTTGACAAGAGAAGCATGGAGTTCAAGGAGAAGACACTTGCCCTGGGACACAGCCTGAAGATGGAGTCTGGCTATGCGGTTGGAAAATTAGCCTCCAGAGGCAGAGACAGCCCCTGTTCTCCTCACTATGGAACCCGCTTAGAGACTGAACTTCCATGGGCTACATCTGTGCAGGGGTTCTAGGTTATCTCCATGCATGGTCCTTGGTTGGAGTATCAGTCTCAGAAAAGACCCCTGGGCCAGATTTTTGGTTCAATTGCTCTCTTTGTGGAGCTCAAAAGGAAATCTTTAGAAAAAAGAAAATCACTCCTATGCTGTACTTTTGGGCCAAACTTAAATAGAGCCATTAAACACAGAGTTATTTACAGCATTTATGATATCACACTACATACTTTAATCTCAAGGACAGGATTCAAGGTCCCTAGAAGGAGTCAAACACCTTGCTGATTCTAGGTATGGGCAAGGATGAGGATATGGTCTATTCCTTACACAGGCAGGCTACAAGTCCTCCATCTGAGATGACAAAAGATAAGTGGCTATGGTGGCTCATGGAGACACGTACAACTGCGAGTGATCATAATCAAAGGGGGCATGACATAAATAATGAAAAATTGAGAGGAAAAAAAAACACAAAAAATGCCCAGATTCCCTTCCATATTCCTCATTTAGTTCAATAATATTATTTAGAGACAAGTAACTGCAAGCCTGGAATGATTTTCAGCACTTAGGAATTACAGTGGGAACAACTAAGTAAAAAGTATGGCTGGTGAGAAAGACCACATTCACAGAACAAGGTCTTTCAAAACTGTGCTTGTTATCCATCATCTGTATGTAGCCATTAGCTAAAACATGAAGCAAAAGACTTAAGGTTCCAACAGGGTCCAGAACAGGCTACGGACCATCTCATTTGGTAAATAATGTCTGACTAGGTCGCTGTCATATGCCCTTGTGAACATACATACGTAACTGTTTCTTCATGCTGGGATGGCAGAAGTGAGCAGACACAGCAAAAATCAGTGGCCTGGAAGGGTAAAGTATGTGCCACCTGGCCATTGATAGAAAAAGTGTACTGTGTCCCAGCATCAAGTGGCAGGTAGGGCTTGTTATGCAAAGTGGCTAGTTGAATTAATATAATCAGCCTATAAAACAAGGAATTCTCTTGTTTTCTTTTATTCACTTTCTGAAGAAAAATATGGAGCTGGCAGGAGTCAAGAGTCTCTGTCACTGCTGTTGGTTATTTGCCGCCAAACAGCACAATATGGTTACAACTCATATGATACTACTTCTGATGATGCTCAAATAGCACCACTCCTCCAAAGGGAGGAAGGATGACATTTCAAAGGAGCATATTATTAAATGAATAAATGACCAACAAACTGTAAGTAACAAAGCGCACTTGTAAAACTAGGAGTGGAGCCTCCCTGTCTCAAAAGACAGTGTATGACCCATTCTTCCTCCACCCCATGGCCACCCCTTCTCCGGGCCAAATAGCTCATGTGTATGTGTATTTGATCTACAGGAGAAGAAAAGGAAAGGGCGTCTTTGGAATAATCCAATTCATCACCAGTTCCGGTGAAGAGGAGTGGACATGATGCAGGCACTGGCTGTTCTGCATGTCATTGGATGCTGCAAGAATAAGAAATGGTGTCACTACGATTTCTTACCCTAAAGTGACCTACATTTCCAAGTACCAGAAAAACACGATCTTATAACCTACCACCATGAGTTTTATGCTCAATTTCAATGAAGACAAATGTGAATTACCAAGAAAATGGCTCTCTCCTTTTTTGTTTGTCTAATGAAATAACATGACCAAGTCATGAAAAGTGTGTGCATGGAACTGATAACAGAAAGGGAACAGCTACCAACTCACTCAGATCTTTTTCCACATTTAAATTTTCTTAAAAAGAAAAAAAAAAAACCCTCTCCCCACCCCCCTGCAAAATGATCACAGAATGCAATGTCATACCTATCACATAAGTCCCCTACCATCTGGCCAGCCACTTTTTGCTACAGCCTATTTCCCAGGCACCACCACTTCAGATGTTCACCTTGGTAAACTCTTACAAAGAATAACTGCATCTAAAACTTTTCCTGTGCCACTTTCATATAAACAAGTTGGTAAATATCTGTAAGATTGCCATGATTCCGATTCCTTCAAAATAATATGACATGTTAAATGTTCCAGAGGAGTGCTTCCCTCCCCCCCCCAAAAAAAAAAAAAACAAAAAAAATGGAGAATCAACATGCACATGTTTTGCTACATTTTTTAAAAAGCAGAAAGATCACAATGAATCTGCTGGTATTGTAAACAAACCACTGATTCAAATTCATCTTGTATTCTAACTCTGCCTTCCAATTTATTTTCAGTCAAACATTATTTCCAATTTACCACAGTTCTCTCTTTCAACGTGGCTAGAAACTTAATTTGATACTTGGACTCCAGAATTGATTTCAGCAATGATTTACAGGAACTGAACTAGCCTGCTTATAATTATTCTGGGAGATTCCAATTTCCTACATGTAATAAAATAATCTTTATCACAGATACTGTCCCCTCCATAACAGTGCTTCATGATTGTTAAGGATTCAATTGTTTTCTACCCCATAATGACATGCTTTCAGCAATTCTAGGTGCATCTGTTTTCACAAATGAAGCGATGCTAAGTGATACTCTACAGAAACAAATGGAAACCCAGCTTTCCATCTTTTTATTAGCAGAGCCATCATCCACTTCCTTTAATTGCTTTATTCATTTTCTCTGCTCATTCCATCTTTGCTGAATTTGTTTACTCAATTATGCCTATTTAATTCCATGCTCTTATTTAAAAAAAACTGTCACTTGTAATAATTTTGCATTTGCTACACTTATCCGAGAAAACCTGCTTGCTTTCCTTAAAAAGCAAAAGCCAAAAGTAAACCCCTGTCTATCCCTGGACACTTTGTGTGAATTTTGGTTACTCAGCAGCATTCCAGGATGAAAGAACTGCAAAAATACAAACACTTTTCCTTTTGTTAATACTTGGATTATTTTTGTCTGAAATACCAACAAAGCAATTCTGATTGAGTTTCTAAAGAAATAGACCTCTTGGTGGCAGTTAGTGAATTGCAATAACTCTGATGTGTTGCCCTATGCAAACTCCCTCTGGGAACAGACACCAACCAGAAAAGCTGAGGTCAGTTTATAAATCCTAGTTTAATTTACATTCATCATAGACACTGTAATACTTATCCAAAGCTTTTCATTCACAAGCTGTTGGGTGCTAGCCACTGGGCAAAAACTCCTCTAATTAACAGACAGACATTGCCTCTGCCACCACCAACTGAAAACCAGTGGGGAACAGGGAATCACATATATGCATATAAACCTCTGTGAAGTAACAAAAATGTAGAGTATTACATTTCGGAACTAAGAAGTCTTTCAAGAAGAAGAAAAAGAAGACAAAGAAAAAAAAAAAGATTCTCCAAGCTCCAAAAATCATACAATTCATTTTATAAGAATATTGCTAAATTTGTAAATGTTAATGTCAATGAGATAAGCATAGGTTTTATGTGTTTAACATTACATGTGAAGGGATATAAAAGTGCTGAGCACACAGGATCATTCGTGGCTACTGCTTTATGACGATGGGTCAGAGAACTAGGGAATAACAAAGATACGTGTGGGAGTTTGCACTTTGTTCAGCTATCATATAAACTTGGTCATCCAAATGAAGATGCATACACAAGCCATCTTCCAGAATGATTTGGGGTTGGAAGGTGTCCACACAGTGATCCCAGTCCTTGTTGTTGTAGCTTGAGAATACATTTCCTGACCTGGATTCGTATCCAAACATGTATCATACAGGCAACCTTAGCTTAGTGGCTTGTCAGTTTGGAATTATTTAACAACTAGTATTTATGAATCCTGGTCATCTTTAAAGTTTCCCTAAATATGCTATTTTGTCTCTAATTTTGCCTCTATGTTGACAGCAAGTTAGTTTTCATATACTGGAGATGTAGAGGCAACCTGTAGACCTGCCATTAAATATGTAGATAATGTAAAATAATGGCAGTCTATGAGACGAAATGAGAAAAAGCCACACAATTGTGTAGTAAAAATTTTATGTCTTCCTTTGAGAGAAAAACAAAAGCTATGTTTCTGCAGACCTAGATAGTCTTGCAGAGGCCACAGTGGTTTTACCTGCAACAGGCAAATACGATACTTATAACAAGTATGTATAAAGCAAAATCATACTTTTTAGGAAAGATATTATAAACTGTGATACATTTCCTCCAGGATGCTAGTACATTATCACACATGCAATCAACTTAGTACCTAATTGTGACAGAAATGAAACTTGATAAATATTCCCAAGAGTTTCTCTTATTGCTATTTGACCATTCACATAGATTAGAAAAAAAAGAGAAAAAAAATCACATGCAAGAAAAGACAGGGTGTCTTTTATTAGGGGAGAGGTAGGCTCTATACAGGAATTGAACTAAAGTACCAACTTACAAATTAAATTGCTATGTACTTGTTGCCCTGAATTCTATGTTTAAAAGTGGTTAAGTGGCAAATCTGTGGATTGTATCATGCTTCTGAAAAATACATTTTAAAAATTAAATTGATCTGTTTAGTATGGGATGTTAATGTTAACAGAGGTAGAAAAAAATTCTATAGGAAAGTAAGCAGCCCTTACCCTGATGTGCTGTGAAGCTGATTTACATATAGATGTGTTTTTCATGTTTAAAATGGTTGACAGCAGCAATTTCATATGGCTCAATCCACATATTCATAAAGAAAACGCGGCTGAAGAATTACTATTATTTAGTGACTGCCACTGAGTGTAAGAACCATGAGAAAGAACCTTAGCATAACATGTTGTTTTTCTTTAAACTGAGCCAGTGCAGTTATAAAATATGTCTGTGAATTTTATGACAGTTTCTATCTTGGAGTGAAGAGATCAATTACAGTGCAGCGAGATGCCGTTAACCTAACAGTGGCTGAGCTGTTTCTATGGGGCACCAAACTTGACCTCAGAGGCAGAGCATTTCTTTTCTGCCATTTTCTTGGTGCAATAACACCGATTTCTCCCAAGTCTGACTATCAAAATTGCGACATAGTCTGAGACTTCCTTTAAGGATGGAGACCTTGGACATTTTTTCTCCCCCAAATCTTCAAGTCATAATTAGCAAAAGATCTCTTCTTTCCTATCAGTGCTGGAGGACAAAGCTGGTGTCCCCTCTCATGCTCTCCCTATAAATAATCATTGCCTGCCTTAGTCTGATACATGGAAAGAACAATCATGTTAGAATAAGAAAATTAGAGCATATCTATATCACTCCAGTATTATTGGAATCAAAGCATATTTAGCCTGCTTGTCCCTCCAGTTTCTCCTCAGCATTAGTACAGAATAATGCATCCCCTAATCCACGAATATAGCATGCAGAACACAGGACCTAAGTTATGATTATTTTAGTAAAAAACAAAAAAAAGGGAGACAGTTTTCCTCATCCAGCAGCCCAAGGTGTCAAACTACACAGACATCCTTCTATGAAATACCTTGTTACATTGAAATACTTGCGGCAGCAATAGAAGAGAAGCTACACTATTAATTTAACATTAGACCCCAGTACAAAGAAAAACCCACCCCAAACAAGACCACACCACCGGGGGTTATTTTAGAGCCATTTTACAAGAGACAAAACCTGGCTAACCCCTTTCAAGAACCCTCAGCGAAAAGCTTTAAAACAGGCTATTGTCAGAGCGCTGGGTACCTTTTCTCTCTTGGCTTTGTTCAGTATTTTCCTCTGCAGTTTCCATGGCTGGCTTCATACCATCCACCAAAAATGCTTTTCCCTGCTTCCTCCCAACACACACTTTTCCCCCTCCTCTTTCTTTTCTTTTGGACTCCCCTCAGTCTCTCCTATTTACATCCGCCTGATTGAGAGGCTCTGTTCTTCACTACAGTAGATCACAGTGCCTTCCAAGATGCGAAAGTCTTGTCAGCGTCAATTTCGCTCTGCCTACTGGTCCATAAAGAAAGCTGCCAAGGAGCAGGCGACCACACGTCACTGAGGATCCCAGTTATAAAACAGCCACTCTGTGCCCCCACTTCCAGTGCACCCCGGGAAGGTCCTGCTCCCCCACCAAGCTCTTCCTCCTTCCTGTCTCTCTTCAGATCTCTCTCTCTCTCCTCCCTTCTTTCTTCTTGCCAACTGCAACCCAATGAATACTAATTAGTTCTCCCAGGAAATAATAGACTTCTGACATCAGAGGAAGGTATGTGGAGGAGAAAGAAAAGAGCCCCCTCCCACCACGTGACTTGGTGAGGCCACACTATATGTTATCTCTCAGGAAAATGCCCGTTTTTCTATGCTTCTTTTCGGGGCGCCGGTTTTGTTTATTTTATTTATCCTCAAGCCCTGGAAAAAGTATATTTAAAAGATGTACACTTGCTGTCTTTTTTTTTTTCTTTTAACACTCTATTTTACACATCTCTAGACAGGCTGACTTTAAAAAAATACTAAAGACAAGAGAATAAAGGCATTTAAGAGGGAAAAAATTTCAAATAAATGTAACAATGTCAACATAGCAATTCAGTATTAGAATCTACTTCTTTATATTAATATATGAAAAAATTTAGCTCAACTCAATTTCTAAAAAAAGAGTCCCATGCTTATTCAACAATCAGTACATCAAAAGTACATCTAGCTGATATTTTGGTTTCTAATATACAAATCAAAAGTTTTAATTTTTTTTTTGATAGGATGTGATTACATCTGCATGGAGTTTTATTCATTAGAAGTCCTCAATCAAAATTGTTAGAAGGTAATTTATATATAAATATATATTACAATTTATTCACTTTGTATTCCAGCTGTAGCCCCCTCCCTCATCTCCTCCCAATCCCACCCTTCTTTGCTCTTTTCCTCTCATGTCCCTCCCCCAGTCCACTGATAGGGGAGGTCCTCCTCCCTTTCCATCTGACCCTAGCCTATCAGGTCTCATCAGGACTGGCTGCATTGTCTTCCTCTGTGGCCTGGTAAGGCTGCTCCCCCCATCAAGGGGAGGTAATCAAAGAGGTAGCCACTGAGTCCATGTCAGATACAGCCCAGATTCCCCTCACTAAGGAATAGAAGGTACTTTTAAAGACTACTCTAAACATCTGGCTTCAGGGATTCCAAATATTCTGATGGCAGATTTCACAAGCTCTTTTGTACAGTTGTTCTTAACTCATAGTAAATATTTACATTTTTACTGTGATTATGAGCCTTAGTTTTCAAGCATCACCAGTTTCAGTGACATTGATAATTGCATTTTAGACCACTCACCTTTATTGTTCCTATTGGAAATACTCTAGAAACTGAAATCATATGCAGAGATAACTATTGTTAACCGTAGGATAAAGGATTCCTGGACCCACCATAATCTGCTTGACACCCACATTGGGACTTGACATTAAAGACAAGTTGGAAGGCCAGTGAAATGGCTCAGCAGGTAAAATCATCTGCTGAAAGCTCTGACCACTAGGGCTCCATTTCCAGATCCGAGTGGTAGAAGAAGACAATTGATTACTGCAAGTTGTCCTCTGACCTCCAGATTTGAGCATTTGAACACACACACACACACACACACACACACACACACACACACACACAC